AGAGCATTGGAGCTCTGAGTGGACTTTTTTACGAGGTTCCACATGCCCTGGGTGCATTGTACTTTTGAGCGCTAAAATGCTCTTCATCATTAGAATTTTTTGGACAAATTTGGTTTGTGCATGACGGCGTTGATTAATTGCACGAGAAACCAGTTTGATTTCGAAAATTACTGTCTGATCGTACTTCCATTTGTTGTAATTACAGTGCCTTGAGAAAGTGTTTGGACTAAGCCATTTAAGGCTTTCTTTAAAAATGAAATATATTGAAGAAAAACTAACCTTTTGGCCAAGTTTAATGATGTAAACCCTTTATTTTTTTCAAACTTCATAATTAAGCCAGAAATGCATTAATTTCAATTCGGAAAGCTGTTTTATGTTAGTTTTAATAGCGCTAACAAATCTGCATACTGCGTTTGTTGATGCTGTTAAACGATTCTGACTAAAATTATAATAACCTGCAAATAGGTATAAAAACAAGCAATTTTTAAAAGTAATTTGTGTTTTTTCAAACATCATAGTAAAGCCAAAAATGAGTTAAAAAACACTCCCTTTTGTTGTGCAGAGGTAAGGGTACAATATAATTTTAAGAATGGCAGTTCATTGCTATTTTCTTTTATAAATAAATAATTTAAATCGGTAAGCTGTTCTGTGCTAATTTTTATAGTGCTAACAAATCTGCATACTACGTTTTGAAATTTAAGAAATTCAATTTTGGGTCGAATTCTGACAATTTTAATGATGTAACCCCTTTTCTTTTTTTTTTTTTTAAATTTTGCAAATAAATGCAAAAACTTATTGTTCCACTAGACATGGCTAGATCGATTCAGCTCTTTATTCTGATCAAGAATATATATGATTTATAGGGTCGGAAATGATTCCTTCATTGTGTTATAAGCTGCTGATTAATACTAATACCCAGCAAAAAGGTATAAAAACAGGCAATTTTTTAAATTAATCAGTGTTTTTCAAGCATCAGAGTTATGCCAAAAATGAGTTTATTTCAATTCGGAAAGCTGTTCTGTGCTTATTTTTAAAGCGCTAACACATCTGCATACTGCGTTTTAAGATTTAATAAATTCAATTTTTTGTCGAATTCTGTCAATTTTAATGATGTAACCCCTTATAAAAATTTCAATTTTTGAAAAAAACTCAAAAATGTATTTTTACATTAGACATGGCTAAATCGATTCAGCTCTTCATTCTGATCAAGAATATATATGATTTATAGGGTCGGAAATGATTCCTTCATTGTGTTATGAGCTGCTGATTAATACTAATACCCAGCAAAAAGGTATAAAAACAGGCAATTTTTTCGAATAATCAGAGTTTTTCAAACGTCATAATTAAGTCAGAAATGCATTAATTTCAATTCGGAAAGCTGTTTTATGTTAGTTTTAATAGCGCTAACAAATCTGCATACTGCGTTTGTTGATGCTGTTAAACGATTCTGACTAAAATTATAATAACCTGCAAATAGGTATAAAAACAGGAAATTTTTAAAATTAATCAGTGTTTTTCAAGCATCAGAGTTATGCCAAAAATAAGTTTATTTTAATTCGGAAAGCTGTTCTGTGCTTATTTTTAAAGCGGTAACATTTCTGCATACTGCGTTTTAAGATTTAATAAATTCAATTTTTTGTCAAATTTTGACAATTTTAATGATGTAACCCCTTATAAAAATTTCAATTTAAAAAAAAAAAACTCAAAAATGTATTTTTACATTAGACATGGCTAGATCGATTCAGCTCTTTATTCTGATCAAGAATATATATGATTTATAGGGTCGGAAATGATTCCTTCATTGTGTTATAAGCTGCTGATTAATACTAATAACCAGCAAAAAGGTATAAAAACAGGCAATTTTTTAAATTAATCAGTGTTTTTCAAGCATCAGAGTTATGCCAAAAATGAGTTTATTTTAATTCGGAAAGCTGTTCTGTGCTTATTTTTAAAGCGCTAACAAATCTGCATACTGCGTTTTAAGATTTAATAAATTCAATTTTTTGTCAAATTTTGACAATTTTAATGATGTAACCCCTTATAAAAATTTCAATTTAAAAAAAAAAAACTCAAAAATGTATTTTTAAATTAGACATGGCTAGATCGATTCAGCTCTTCATTCTGATCTAGAATATATATGATTTATAGGGCCGGAAATGATTCCTTCATTGTGTTATAAGCTGCTGATTAATACTAATACCCAGCAAAAAGGTATAAAAACAGGCAATTTTTTCGAATAATCAGAGTTTTTCAAACGTCATAATTAAGTCAGAAATGCATTAATTTCAATTCGGAAAGCTGTTTTATGTTAGTTTTAATAGCGCTAACAAATCTGCATACTGCGTTTGTTGATGCTCTTAAACGATTCTGACTATAATTATAATAATATATATATTATAATTTTTTAAATTAATCAGTGTTTTTCAAGCATCAGAGTTATGCCAAAAATGAGTTTATTTTAATTCGGAAAGCTGTTATGTGCTTATTTTTAAAGCGCTAACAAATCTGCATACTGCGTTTTAAGATTTAATAAATTCAATTTTTTGTCGAATTCTGTCAATTTTAATGATGTAACCCCTTATAAAAATTTCAATTTTTGAAAAAAACTCAAAAATGTATTTTTACATTAGACATGGCTAGATCGATTCAGCTCTTCATTCTGATCTAGAATATATATGATTTATGGGGAATTTTTTTCGAATAATCAGAGTTTTTCAAACGTCATAATTAAGCCAGAAATGCATTAATTTCAATTCGGAAAGCTGTTTTATGTTAGTTTTAATAGCGCTAACAAATCTGCATACTGCGTTTGTTGATGCTCTTAAACGATTCTGACTAAAATTATAATAATATATATATTATAATTTTTTAAATTAATCAGTGTTTTTCAAGCATCAGAGTTATGCCAAAAATGAGTTTATTTTAATTCGGAAAGCTGTTATGTGCTTATTTTTAAAGCGCTAACAAATCTGCATACTGCGTTTTAAGATTTAATAAATTCAATTTTTTGTCAAATTTTGACAATTTTAGTGATGTAACCCCTTATAAAATTTTAAAATTTAAATAAATTGTGAAATTTTGAAAATTTTCGCGGACATGACTAGATCAATTCTCCTGTTGATGCAGATCAAGAATTTTCAAGTTTTATAGGGTCGGAAATACCTTCTTCACTTGTTGCAAGTTTTCGACAGAAATTAGAATACCCTGCAAGGGTAGAGCCAGTTACAGTTAATCCAACCCACTTTAGTAGCTCCTTAAATATATACAAATACCTTTAAAATGAATCAAATGTATTTCCTTATTACTTCGAAGTAGCCTCATCAAAAGCAATTAACATTATTAATTGTGAATTTAAGGAAGACCCAAGATGCAAAACCGAAACCTAACCAACTGGAAGGCGGGTGGATATTGGAATCTGTTGGCGCATTACCGTTTGTCATCACGGCATTTCCGAATCGTTTCCCTCTGAATTATTAAAATGAGGCACAGCCAGGCCCAGGACCTGGCCAGGATATATATGTACATATATTTTCAGGCCTCATGGCGATGGATGGTGTGAACGGAAGTGGGAAGGTAATTGCATTTCGCTGCAGACTTACTCGGTTCTCGATGAGCTTGTCGCACACGTTGAAGACCGTCTTGATGGGATTCTTGTCCATGCGAATGGTCTTGTCGTAATAGGTGACCTTGCGTGGCACATACTGCTGGTCGAAATTGAGGTGCTGTGGGTCAGAATTAAAGGGGGCGTGGGTTAAAGCGAATCTAAATGGGAAATCCAGTTAGCTAATGCGACTAAGCGCTTGCCTTTATTGTTGTGCTAAAGTGCTCCTCGCTGTCGGAATTGCTCAGAACGCCGCCAATATTGTACGTCGAGGGATTATCCGAGGCGGTGTGCCTCTGGGCGGCGGCAATCGGCGGCGGCATTATGGATAGCAGAACAATGGCCGATCCGAACAAAAGCCGACGATGAACAATGCCCACGGCAGCCATATTGCAGTGCTCCTAAAGTTTTTGGGGAGGGAATACGAGGTGCTTTGTGAAATGATTTCAATTGTCTTCCCGGCAAACATTCAGCATTTTCTGAAAGAAAATATAAAGTCGTATTAACTCTCTATTTAAACAAGTTGAGTTATTTAAAACAAAGGAGTTTGACATTTAATTTCATATGCTTATTGTCAATCTTCAGCCAAAGAGTAACCAATTAAATGTGTAGAGTTGAAAAATTATTAAAGGTATCATTATTTTAAAGTATATACCAGTGTATCCAAAAGTGTGCAATGAAATATTTAAAACCTCTTGTTTATGGATCATAGCCTTTATTTTCTTTAAGCGTTTAACTTTTTTCGAAGCTTCAAATTTCCAAGGACATCTAAATTTAATATTTTTTGTATTACAAGTATAGGTAAAAAAATTAATTTTAATGAACCATACATTTCTTGTATAAAAATTAATTTGAATTCTAAATGATCGTGCCAAACAGAAAACCGGTTGAATTAACTAACTGATAACTCCAAGTGATTTTAATCTTAAGGCAAAATTTTATAAATTTGCACATTTATTTACACAATACTAAAGTTTATAAATCCAACAACATTTCTATAATTTAATTTGTATATTTATTTAAATTTTTTAAAAGCTTAGCGGTCTCAATGATTGTTTCATTTGCGGTATATTTTACATGCTTATACATTTGGTGTATGTACATATGTATTTTCGTTGATCGTTGCATTCGCGTTGTATTTTACATGCTTATACATTTGGTATATGTATTTTGTCCTACGATCATATGACTTTGTTGCTTTCCTGGGCTTATTCTTGTTAGATTCTAATAATATAATTATAAATTTTGTGAACAGTAGTTAAGTTATTAAGTATAAATTTCTTATTATGCTATAAACACTTGAGCGGTATTAAAATATAGTATTTCCGCCCGGCGGTCACACTAACGATCATATGGCCCAGCTGCTTTGGGACACTTGTTGCTTGTGGCTAAGCTTTCTGTCGGCTGCCGTGTTTTTGCTCGGACGTGTTTTCCGCGTCGGTCCGCTTATCTGCGCTGCGCTGGCACTTCGGTGGTGAGAGGGAGACGGAACGCGGCGCCCTGGAAAATTGCACTTTCGTACGGTTCGCGCGGCTAATTTATGGCCAAAATGATGGCCAATTTATCGGCCTGAATGCGGTGGGCGGTGTGAGTGTGAGTTTGTGCCTGGAAAAGTGCGAAATGTGCGAAAAGCTGCGACTCGGAAGCGAAATCGTTTGAGAAATCGACTGTCGACTTGCGTTGCGCGTTTTGTTTGCCTTGCCTGGCTTCGCTGCTAGTGCGCTGCCTCTGCGAGGTAACTGCGCTGCCGTTAGGTGGGCGCTCGGGGGCGGGACAGCAATTGCTTGAATTGTTGTTGTTGCTCACACTTTTCGCCTCTCTTTCTTTTAACCGGAATTGTTTGTCGCGTGTTTTTTACGGCTGTGTCTTATTGACAACCAAAGCTCTGCCGACGTCGCAGCCCGAGCATTGTTATTGTTATTGTTATTCTTAGTGCTAGTGTTGGTATTAGTGTGTGCGGTTTTTGTTGTTTCTTTGCGCCGTATTCCCCTTTTATTGTCACAATGCACACTCGATACAGTAAACGAAACTGTTAGCGACAATATTTTTTTAATTATTTCAAACATATTTTTACAGTGAATAAAAAAAAAATCATGTTTTTAGAGAATTTTTAAAGATTTTTTTATGTGACTAAAACAAAGTTCACGATTTTTCAATATTTCCCTAAATAACAATATAATTTTTTGTTTATTAAAATAGCACTTCAACAAAAATACTTCAATACCTAAGGAAGAATAACCCAATAAAAAAATTCAATAATTACAGAAAAATATCATAATAATAAATAGTAGTGCGTCCACTCTGTAAAGCGTGCACTGTACTCTGTGTTTGTGGCCAAGTGCGCGCACTCAAGGTGAAAATATATTAAGTTCTTTCGAGTGTTTGCACATCAAGTTCGATTTGAATAAAATACATATAAAATCAAATTCGATTTACGATCGTCGTTCTGTCAGCGGATGATTCAATCTTTCTGGGCAGTATCGCTCATTTCGGATACAAATCTACAGCTACAAATTACTCGCAGTAAGTACTCGGACCGCATAAATGTTCCAGCAACCTGTTGCCCTTTCGCTTTGAGCAATTTTCTGGTTTTTCTGGTTTCCCAAAGGGCTTGCCGCCGATTTAAGTGGGTCATAAGGCAATAAGTTCTGCGGTATCACGCATTTCGGCCAGAGCTAATTACCTTTGGCCAGATAGCTATTATCTGGCAGTCACGCCCTGGCCCAGTGCGCCGCCAAGTTCATTTTGTTGAATAATTGAAAGGAAATCAAAGCGCAAAATGCCAGAAAACCTCGTTGATTCAATTACAATGCAAAGCCAAAGGCAACAAAAAAAAAGAAAATATAGAGAAGCAAAAACGAACACCTTGCACTCTCGCTTTTCCATCTCTAGGGGGAAAAAAGAGTCTTACACAGAGAGAAATATCATTAAATACTAACAAATTGAAATACCGACAACTGAATATAGTTCTACATTGCATTAATTAGAGTTTCTTATACGTAGGAAAATTAAAGTAAGTTAGTTTTTGCAAATAGTTTGTACTTCTTATCAGCAATTACTTGATATAACTTCAATATTATATATTCATAATCACTAGAGTATACCTGGTATGATTTTCCATTATGAAACACCTAAACTATGTAATATATCAATTAAGCAATATATGAATTTAAATACTAATCAAAATCTCGAAAGTGAATTCCAAATTAGACCCAAGTTAAATAGTTGACTTTTATAGTATGTACTTTCTCTCACTGCAACCTCCTCCCGCCGAATAGTGGTGAGGTGACTGAGAGAGGAAGAGCGGCTGACAGGGCCGACGCGTGCTTAATTAAGCGCCACATTGTTGACTGCCGGGCAAGTACTATGAGATAGAGGGAGATAGTGGCAGCTGCGAGTAACGAGAGAGGCCCCCAAAAAAAGAGACAGAGCACAGCAGAGGGAAAGGCAGAGCAGAGATGGAGATGGAGCTTTCTCGCCTGCAATCAGTGAGTTGTGCTCGCTGTGGGGGCAAAGGGGAAGTGGGGGCATTCATGCAGGCTGCTGCACGCGATGATTTCAATTTAATTGCGTGGCATAAAGATGGCTTTTCATCGCCAAATTGCATTTTTCGCAATCGCAAAAGCAGACTCAAGTAACTCTTAATGGCCAACTAATAATGTTCGAGTTAACAAACATGTGAGCATACAATTACGGCCAATTATTTCCCCATTACCACATTTTGGTGAATTGCTATATATTTAATTGAACAGGCCAAACAAGCGTGGTTATTACAGTGATTAATTTTTTTGTAAATTTTTATTCCCGAGATACAAAAAGGCTACTTAAGCACGCTTAGTTAGCATTGTTAGTATGATCAGCAAGTAAAACTACCGACAGTTTAACATATTAATAAACACTAATCCATTTAAGGCTAACGTGTTTTTAAATAAAGATATTATAGAGGCCCTTTAAAAGATCCATTTTATTTAAACTTTTTACCTTTTTTTTAAGAATCCTTAATATTTTATAATTTAAAGAATGGTTATTTTCCCTTCGAATGCGATAAAAGCCGCCTTTCTACCCTTACAAAGCTTTAAAAATGTTATTTCGTTAATAAAAATATTAATCACTTGCTGTCAATTACGAGATTATTATGAATACCATGAGAAAATCTAGGAAAAGTCCATATCATCAAAGCTTATCAGCTATGATTTCATTTTTCACTTCTTTGATTCAACTTGAACAATGCCAGATAAGAAACCAATTAAAAAGTGTTGCTATATTTTATGGGTCGACTTATTAAACGAACTGCTTATATATAGTCAAGACGTGAACTGAAGTTGAAGAGCTCACTCCGAGTATCATTAAGTGATTTCAAGTATGTGGTTCTTTATAAAAGTACTATCTGAATAAAGATACAAGCATAAGAGACAGTTGTGGACAACATGTTAGCAATTCACAAATTAAATGCAGGGCTGGATACATTTCAAAGTACTTAGAGTGTCATAAGATAATCAATCAATTGAATCAGTATCGACATATATTTTCTTGTGCATATTCATATGCTGCCCATCGTCATGTGCATAATTTGAAAATGGGGAGAGGAGAGGAGATGGCGCCTGAAAGCGCCACCAATTAACATAAATAGTCAAATTGTGTGAGCGACGTTTTCATGTTATAAATAAAATATACGAACGAACACTCACGACCACAGTCCCCCATTCAAAAGAGATATGCAACCCAAACCCAACACTCACTTGGCTGCAATTAATGTGAGTGTGGGTCTAAGTGTGTGCGTGTGTGTGAGCGCGGAAAGGTCGTGTATGTTATCAATGAAGCAGAGTGAATGCGGAAAATGGGTAAAAGAGCTCTCTCCGCGCCAGCTTGTATGTGTTTTCCTCTTTTTGCTCAGGTGAGCCGAGATCTCTTGAGCTTTTCAATAGCTTTCGGAGGCCAGACGGGGCCCAGACCTTAACAAATAGCCAAATTACACAAAAAACGGGTGTAAAACACGAGTCGTAATTAATTCTTTACCTTGCCAGAGGGTCCGCTTTTAATGGCCGAAATAAAATGTTTGAAGCCCTTTTCGTTAAATTGTTTTTCATCGCCCATCATTTATTACTCATTCACCATCTGCACTCATTTCCTATTAATCCCCATAAATAGTTGATTAGACTTCAGCGCTCTTCCAACGTGATGCCTGTGGCTCCCAGGAACTTTTGAGTTCAGCTGAATAAACATTGCATCGAATTTCCCCAAGGAAAAGCCCTCACCGTTCCCCCATTTTCCATGCCATGAACTGGGGCTGAAACAATTCCCACATGCAAACGGGTAACAAAGTATAGAAGTACACTCACTATCAGCAAATCGAGCCGTCATACCAACATTCGATGTCATCGAAAGGGAACGGAATCGCCTCATGGCTCGTACTTTCGAAATAATTTCATATGAATTTCACACTTTGATTTGTTTGCTATTCGAATTTTTACATGTCCCCTTACAAGGCAGTTAATGAACTTTGAGTGTAGCAAAAAGAGTATATAAGGGTAGTATGACTGAATAGAAATAGATAGACATTATTATTAGATGCATAAATAGATAGATATATAGATATTATTAAAGATACATAGATAGATAGAAAGATGGATAAAAATATAGATATTATTATTAATTAATTAAAATGCATAGATAGCTATATATTATTATAGATAGATATTATTACTTATATCAAGTCAACATTGAGAATTTAATTAACTGGTATAATTAAATGGAATAGAAATAATTTAAGAAATTCTATTGACGTATCTCTTATCTCTGCTTTTGTTAAATAATGATTTTATTTCTATATGTATACATGTTTATTTTAAAACAGGCCATAATCAAAATTATTGCCATAATTATAGAATGAAGTAATCATGTTCTTGCCACCTAAAAGGGCATTTCATATTCAGTATGCCCTCCAATAAATTCCCTTTGCCAGTTTTGTTTAACCATTTTAACATAGAGAACGTGCCTTGGCTAACATTTTATTTAATTTTCGTTGTTGTGGCAGCATGTGTGGGACTTGCAGCCGGCGAGGTTCATTGAATGAGGCAATGCAGGGCGGCAGTAGTGGCAGTGTGTGGAAAAGTAGGTGGTGTGTCTGCCGGAGGAGGTCTCTGGGTAATTCGAACTGACAGACTGACAACAATGAGAACAGCGGGCTTGACGGCGGCTCCTATTTGATGATGATGGGGCTTTATTAAAATATTGCGTCGGTTTCGATTTTAATTCCCACAACGCGCAAATACTTTTAATGAAGATCCAACCGCAGGTGGGGGTTCAGATTGTTTGACTCCGACTCGGGTTCAATTGGACCGATTTTCCGGGACGGATATCCTTGGGCCCATATCGATCTGGCCATTATAAGGAGTGATTTCTCCCCCGGCCAATTTGAGATAATTTAATTTGCCCTCTGTAAACGGGAATTGTTTTATGTGCAATCCAGCGGCAGGCAGGACAACTCCCCAAGGAGTCGTCCGACGACAAAAGCTTCAATCAAAAGCCCCAAAAACTTTGAACCAAACTTTGTCGTCCATGCTGCCTCGGTTTCTCACATCCACGCCCTGTTGCGTTAACCTTTTATCCCTTTCGCCTCTGTCCTCCGACCCCCGTCCAATCCATTGTGGTCCGGCTCCGTGTGTGCGACTTAGCCGGGAAAGCCATCTAAGCCAATAAGCAAGTCAAGGAGGTCCATCCTCCGGCGCCGTGCAGCTATCGAATTTGCTAAAGTGTTGCGACTTCCCTGGCCCATTGTTGCCAATTCACATTTTATATTTTTGTGTACTTTGCAGCATCTTTTCGTAGGCAATTTTCCCGGGCATTTTTCACACACGAGTTGCCAAACATATGTACGTATTTCCCCCTTGCCTCGTTCACCATCCGTTCCGCTCCACTGAACCCCAATCCATGGGATTGATGACAAGCAGACCCGCTCCCGGAGATTGGGGCCGAGAGGGGATGGAGCCATTCTGGGCATGATTTCAAGCATTGCACATTGACGTGCCTCAGTTAGCCGAATTTCCCCATTCGGTCCATTGTTGCTAAAGTGCCTGATGGACAACGAATCGTTGGGCTTGAGCAACTATATAAGGTTGGGTGGACAAAGAGCGGGCATTTTCCGAGGGATTCTCTTTCGCCCATCGAGTTTTTGATGAATTACAAGGATAAATGTGGAGGGACCACGTGTGTGGTAGATTTCCAATTGTTTGGGATAATTTTAGATTGCAGGCTTATAGAAAGAAAATACTCAGCTTGAGAATCCTGGTTAGGTTACAAATATATTGTATTTGGGAATCTATAATTTGTATATTGACAGGGAAAGCGTACATTAAAAACACCTAAAACTTTTCAATGGAGAAATAAATGAGAGAGCAATAAAACAAACCCAAATAATATTAAAAACACGTAAAATTTATCTCGAAACGCCGTAAGCATATATGTTTCAATATTCAGAAAGGGACCAGATTAAAGCTACATAGATTTTCCTCCAACCCAGTCGT